TCTGGAAACATCATACGCATGGGGTCCTTCTACCTCCTGGTAATCTCAGGAGGGTTACACCTGGGTTCACAGAGGATCAGGCAGGTAAAGTGACTCATCTATAGTGACACAGTATCTGAGCCAAGATTTGACCCTGGAACTTTCCCACCTCCAGGTGACTCGGAGCAGAGCTCAGCCTGGCTTTTCTCTACACCTCAGTGCCAGGCAGAGCCCAGACCCAGACCCAAGGGTGATGGTGCTGGGTGAGAGGCCGACCGCAAAGCCCATGTGAACCCAGCAGAGGCCCCATCACTCCCAGCCCGAGAACCTGGGAAAGCTCCGTGCCACTGAGGCCTGACCCCAGTGCCAAAAGGTGGTGTCTGGTATGAGCTCCCTGGTGGCCCAGCGACCCTGAGATGGCTGGGAAAGTGCCCCACTGCTCTCTGCTTCCAAAGCCTTCTCCGTCCAGGGGCTGGGCTGGAGGCTGCAGTGCATTCCTTACATTCCAGGGCTTTTCTCTGGGAAGGAGGCTCCTGTGCAGGGATGGGGAAGCCAGTTGAATTTCAGTGGAACAGTAAAAGTTCCCACAGCGGCCTCTTCCCACCCCCATGCCCCCACTGTGTGCCTTTGGCCCTGCCGTGGCACTTTGCATTGGAGGATCTGTGCACTGGCCATGCGCCTGGCGAGAAATACCCACAGGCAGCTGGCCACCATGACCACATTCGGGTGGGCTCAGGAGCTGGGAGGATACGAGGCCTGAGACCTGGCTGGGCTCCTGCCACTGGCTCAGTGGCTTGACCTGGCTGCTCTCCCATTTTACCCCCCAAATATCCTCAGGCTGCTTTATCTTCCTCCTGGAAGTGCCAGGAGAATCCACAGGAGTATAAAAGTACAATGGAGCCCATATGTGCTGACGCTTTGCATCCACCCTCATACTGGATCCTTACAACCTGGCTGAGAGGGAGATGGTTTATCCCCATTTCAAGGATGAAGAAACTGAGGCTCAAAAGGGGAAGGTCACCAGCCCTGAGTCACATAGCCATCAAGGGGCGAATCTGGCTGCCCCTGAGCCCACTGGGGCTCCACTCACTCACAAGGCTCAACTGGGTCTCAGTTTCAGTCATTCCACTGAATCTTCTTAACCTCCGACTCTGGGCCGAGCCTGATGTTGGATGCCCAGGGTATGGCCAGGGAGCAGGCTGGCATCACCCCCACCCTATGGGGCTCACAGTCCAGAGGAGGCAATAAGTGAACAAAGTACATATGAAGTCACAGACCGTGCTCAGGTCTCCAAGGACAGGGAACACCTCACAGGAAGAAGGAGTAATAGGAGAGAGAAACCAGAGTAGAGAGAGTGACCGGACTAAGTCTTACCGAGATTGAGTGGTGATGCACCCCCGTGGACATGGTGACCATCTTGAAGCCAGGGTTCCCCTCCTCTGACTGTGTGTCTTTGGGAAAGTCTCTTCACCTCTCTGATCTTGACTGTCCTCACCTTACAGAAATTGGGATAGTGAAATCCACCTTTTAAATACTGTGCGTCATTGAATCAACATGTAGGAGCCAGTTAGCACAGAGCCTGGCATATACCAAGCACTCAGAATATGGCAATGGCCATTTTTGTCAACCCAGGTAGGCTAAGGCAAGGGGTTTGGAGGTGGAATGAGGAGAAATGGTCTTACCTGTAGGTAGAGTCCCCAGCATTAGCTGGTTCTGGAATGTACTAGACCTCAGGAGGAAAATGTAAGAGGATGCTGCATTACCAATTTTGATCAAAATAAAATGGCCTTTGTACTATGTTTAGTACACATGGTGTGGGGAGATCATGGGGAAAACAGTGTAGCACAGAGAAGGCACATAGTGAATCTGTGGCATCTTAATACACTGATGGACAGTGCCTGCATTGTGGTTTGGGGGGAACTTGCTAATATGGGTAAATGTAGTAACTACATTGTTTTTTCATGTGAAACCTTCATAAGAGTGTATATCAAGAATACCTTAATAAAAAATTAAAAATAAATTAAATAATAATAAAGTGACCTTTGCCAAGAGAAGCATGATGAAATGAAGATATAGTCATAATCTGCCCATTTTTCAGAGAATACAACTGAGGCCTAGAGAGGGGAAGTCAGGTGGCTTGGCTTCTGCTGAGAACAGTAGCCCTCAGCAGAAATGAGCAGAGTTTTCCACAGCTGTTCTCCTCAGCTACATTCTCGCAAGTCTCTTCCTCTCCCCACCTATGCCAGGCCCTATCCGATACCCTAAAATTCTGAGATGCAAAGAGTATCCCAGCAAAGCATCCTAAGCGCCCCAGGAAATAACCAAGATTCCAAGCATGGAGACCAGAGGTGGGTCTTGGCGTCACATCACCATCTGCTGGCCATGCCTAAGAACTGCTGCTCTGGCTGGGCCTCTTTGAGGGCCCGCAGGGGGCTATGGGACAGTGCCTCCCAGGAGGCAACACCGGAGACAGGCAATAAACAGAAATCGGACAGGTAAGCAAGGTGATTTCAGATTACAGTAAGTTCTAAGCAAGAAATAAGCAGGTCTTGCTAAAGCAGTGGTTCCCAAGACGTGGCCCAGAGACCTGGGGAACCCAGAGAGATGCTCATTTGTCTCTTTCATCTCCTTCCCTTCTAAGTGTACAGTGGAGGTTTCCAGGGGTCACGTGACATGTGATATTGCAACAGATTGAATGCAGAAACAATCATGAACCAACAAAATCTCTTTTATTAAGCCAAACAGTAAAGATACTTAGCAAAGAAAAAGCTGAAATAATGCTCACTAAATTTATTTTGTCTTGGAAATTGTTATTTTTCCTAAAGAATGTGTACTTTACATTAGCATGCCATGAGTTTATTCTTGTTAATGTTATTTTTTTCAATGAATTAATGAACAAGTCTTTTGAGCAGGCAGTGTCCAACCCAACTTGGGAGTGACCATTTACTATGTAGTAGCAGCATAACGGTGTCCTGAGGCCAAACTATTGGACAGCTGAAGTGACAGAGTAACTGCACATGAGGTGGTCAGGGGAAACCTTTCTGGGGAGGTACCATTCGACTGAGACCTAAGTAACACAAGAGGTCAGCCATGTGAAATGCAGAGGGACATATTCCAGGAAAAGAGAACAGATAGTGCAAAGATCTTCAGGGGAGAACAAAACAGAGGAACAGAGGAAATTGTTTCAACAGATAGAGGAAAAGTAAGGCTGGCAGCCTAGTTTCCCAGAGTTGAAAGCAGTGCCCCATGTATAGGAACGACTTAGCAAATGGCTTCTGGGTGAAGAGAGAGAGAGAAAGACAGAGGGGAAAGGAGAAAGGAGGAAGGAGCTGATAAGAGACCCCTGGGTGGCTGAAAGCTGCCTGGAGGTGTAGGAGGAAGTCTTCTTCTAGTTAGGTATCTTCTAGTCCTTGGAGGGCAGGAGAGCCTTAGAGATTCCCCCATCCCCACTCCAACATACCTGCTTATTTAATACAGAAAAAATGGAAGCCCAGAGGGAGAAAGTGACTCCTCAAGGTCACCCAACCAGGACAACTACAGAATTAAAGCCAGAATCCAGGGCTGGAGGCACAGAGATGGTGTCCTTTGGGGTTGGACAAGGTACAGGAGGTGTTGGGAACTCTGGGGGAAAAGGAGGTGATGTGCATGTGTGCAGGCGCTCAACCCCTGAGTGGCATCCTGACTACTGCTGGCCCTGCTTCTGCCCACACTGGCCCCAGTCTCCTTTTATCCCCAGGCCAGTGTCCAGAGCTTCTGCAAGACCACTGACCTCTCTCATTCCTCACCAAACAGGAGGTATTTGCCTCTCCTGGCCCTCAAGTTCTGCCAACCGTGGGATATTTCCAGTTCTTTTTATCCCACCTTGACCACTGCTGTTCAGATCAGCCTCTACCTCTTAGCTCAGGCTGTACCCTCCTCTGGACATCCCATCCTGCCCTGCCCCACCACCCATAACCCCATATCCTAAAGAACTAGTCTGATGAATCTTTGAGAAGCCATTCTGAAATACTCTGCACCCCCATGGCTATTTTTATATCATTTGACTTTCTCCATCCTTCAAAGCTTCCCTGATGTGTCACCTCTTCCAGGAAGCCTTCCCCTGTTGCCCCACCTTCACCTTACCTCTCCCCAGCCTCCTCCACAACAGTCCCCCTGGCATCCATCCCAACATCTGGTGCTAACTTAGAGTGAGATTTCAGGGAGACACATATGAGGCATCAGGCTCTATCTCGTCTCTGTGAGGACACGCCCCTGTGAACCTTCACAATAGTCGTATCAGGTGAGAATGCTGTTCCCATTTAGCAGAGCAGATGGAGGCTCAGAGAAGGGGACTTATCCCCAAGATCTCACAGAAGGTAAGAGGCAAAGCTGGAATTACAAAGAAAGTTTGTCAGGAATATCAATCTTAGGACTGACTCCAAGTTTTAAAATATATATATATATATTTATATGTCTTGGCAGACTGGTCTTGGATGCCTAGAACACTGTTGTGAAAGAATCTTGAGGTTGTATCCAGGTTCCCAAAGAGGACCAAATAGGTGATCAACTACCAATGTCTGCCACGGATGCTGGACAGTGGAAAAGTATATGCCATGTATCTGCCAGGCCTTCATCAGCATACACGAAACTTTTTCTGTCATTTTCTCTGTCACCAAGGAACTCTTTGTCTTGCCAATGAAATATAAGCTCCCTGACAATAAGAACCCAGATTTTCTCTGAAGCACCAGCCTAGGCACAAAATAGTACTATTTAAATTTTATATATACATTGATATTGATAATGGTGATGGTTGCACAAAAATGCAAAATTCCTGAATTGTACACTTAGAATAATTCAGATGATAAATGTTATGTTGTATTTTCCCACAGTGAAAAATAAAAATAAATACCCTATTGTATTGACCTCTGAGGTTATGGTCTTGAGAAAAGGTGGCAGAGGTGCCACTCCTGCTCAATATGCCACTGGCTCCCCTCTTTACCCCAAACTATACATGCCTCCTGCCTCCTAAATCACAGCCATCCTTTGAGTGTAAATTTGTTTTTAATATCAATATTTTTTTTACACAGAAGCTACATTCATGGGTGGAAACAAAAAGCCAAGTTTACATTCCATTGCTGGATCCATATCAAAATCTGATTTTTAATCTACAGCGGAATTTCTGTCCCCACATTCAGCATCCCCAGCAGGCAGTGACATGGAAAACATTTCTGCTCTGTTAAAGTAAAACAATGGGTCCTTAGATAAACTCTCAAGAGGGCCTTTGATGTCCTGTGTTGGAATGAGACCGGTGCTCCTTCCAGGAATCCCCCCAATTCAATGTCATTATTTATGCCAGCTCAGCCTCCAGCAGGTGCCCAGTGGCCACTCCCTCCACACCACCCATTCAAGGATGAAGACGCGTCTTCAGACCAGGAGGCCTAGTCCCTAGCCCATGAGGTCCTGCTCCTAGTGAGCTCGATGTTCAGTGGAGCAAACATCAGGGTGAACCTCAGTCAGGGGGTAAACAGAGCGTGCCTCCTTGGCTCAGCTTTTCTAGTATTAAGCTGAAGACACACATGTGCATGCACACACATACACTCATACTCACAATCCTAGGATCTCACCACCATCATCTGTCCCAAAGGTGGCCCAGTTCCAATCTTTCTGCCTCCAGGGACAGAAGGTTTGTAAGCCACCAAGATACATTTTCCCCTTCCTGGGACCAGGATCAGTCTCTCGGAAGCTTATGCCACACTTACGTGTCCCCCTGCAGCCACAAAGGACAAATGGGCTCCTCCTAGGGGACCCTCCTGCAGACTGGCAGCCCATGACCACATCCCTTCAGATTCGCACTGCATACCACCAGGGGCCTGGAGGGACATGCTTTCAAAGGTGCTTCTCTTCCACGGTGTCACTGCCATCCCAGCCAAGCCCCTGCCTGGCATGAACACAGCCCTCTTTGCTTTCCAGTCATTGCAGCACTATCCCCAACTGGGGCAAAGGTGTCTGGGTCCTGTTTCATCTCAAGATGGATCTAAGGGTTCCCCTACTTTCAAAAAGTTCTTATCAGTTATCTAAGTTTGACCAGAATTCATTACATGCTTCTCAATATTCCATGTGGGCTGAAACACCAAAATGTCAGCCTAAAACTCAGACCTAACATCTCCCCTCCTCAGAGACATCTATGGCTCCCCATTGCCCTCAGAACAAAGCCCAAATGCCCTGGCAACTAGGCCTGGTCCTTGTCCATTTCCTGTCTGTCTCCTGCTCCTCTCCCCCTGAGCCTTGCAGAACCTCTTCCAGAACCACCACTCCTGCTGCCTGGAACTCGGGTCAGCGCACGTCTCCCTCTTCAGAAAGCCTGACTGCCTATCCACTCCATCCTGCACCCACCTGACACACTATCACTGATGCTCTTGGAGACCAGCTGGTGTTTAATCACCACTCATCCCCATTGCCTGGCATTGCGCCTGGCACAGACTAAGTGCATGCCATTCTTATCGGTCTGGGTGCTTCCACAGCCCCGACCAGCCCTATTACAGCACCCATCTCACTGCACTGTCTGCTTACTTCTCCATCTCCCCTTCTGAGCTATATAAGCACCATGATGTAAAGGCCTATGTATGGGTCCCAGCACCCAGAGAGTGCCGGGCACACCGTAGGTGCTCGGCATCAAATCTCGGTAGTTGAGAAAAAAATGGGAAGTATCTGGGCTTCCTGCTTGGGGGTGAAGTGGAGCAAGGCAGCCAGTAGAGGGCGGCAGGGAGGTGCCTCCAAGGTGCAGGCTCAGCCCCATCCCTGCCCATGGCCTATGTACCTTCTCCAGGCTCTTCCCCATGCCTTCTCCTTTTTCCTTTCACAGCTCAGGTTTCTGGATCACCCTTCAGGTCTCACTGCCAGTTCCACTCCGTTAGCTCTGAGCCCATGGCTACCAGAGAGGCTCTCAGCCCCGAACCAGCATTCAGTGACCCAGCAACCTGCCCACAAAGCCTCTCGGCTGGCCTCTGACCAACCCTGAGCTGATCCAGTCCTCCGGGACCTGCCATAAACCGCCCTTTCCCACAGACCCTGCCTACCAGACTGAGCTAGCAAAACAGGTCCCTTTTCTCATCCCTCCCCTCGACCTGATGCCACTTTATACTCCCACCCAGGAACCCCTGGCCTCCTGGCGCCCCCTCTCGGATCTCAAGGGGCCTCCTGCAGCCCTGAAGAGATCCGAACTCCCTTCCAGCCACGTCGTCCCCTTAGTACAATTACATTGTACAGAAGATAGAAGAGGAGGCTGAGCTAATTTACACCACGGTGTAAAAAGGTGATGGATTTATAACCCTGCTGCATATTTCAATCTAAAGCTTTATGTCCCAGGGCTTCCAAAACTCCTAAGTCCCTAAATCAAGGACTCCAGGCCCTGGCCTGGTGACCAATGATTCCATGCATAATGGCATATTCTTTGAACACCAGGCAGGTGTTTTGAGGTCTACAAGAGTTGCATCCACTCATCTGGACTACTGCAGTTATGAGGCTATTGTTTGTTTTAAAAAAAAAATGCTAATTATGAGGGGTTGCTAGGATATGTCCAGTGGCCAAGACCTTGGAAGGCTGACTATGCTTCTGACCCCACGTCAGTGGGTGCCACTCGTCCATCAGGCCTGGGTCACACCCCATCCCTGGCACCTCCTTTAGAGTACTCCAATCTTTCTTGACTTCTGATTGCTTTGGACAAAGCAGTCACCAAATCCAACACCACTAGCTACACCTTTCCCTGTTAGTCAAGTTTCAAACCAGGTTTAGCCCCATCCCAGCCATGCCGACATCCAAGCTGTTAATCATAACGGTAAGGGGAGTGTTAGACCTGTTGTTAGTCGGAAGGAAATCCACAAGCCGTTAGTTTCTGAAAGGAACAGACCAGGAGGGCAGGAGTTAGGAAAGTAAAGGAGAGGTTCAGAGCCAGGCCAGGAGCCCGCAGCTCCCAGACGGGCAGGGTTGGCTGTTAGTGGGAAGCCCCAGGGCAGCCAGGGCGAGGCAGGAATTAGCTGGGTGAGAGCGAGAGTTAGTGCGAGGGAGCCAGAGATTAGCCCAAAGAGACCAAGGTGCCTACTGGAGGTGAGCATCAAATCACCCCCAGGTGTGGCCCTGGCTTAGCGGCTGGCGGGCTCTGGGGAAGGCCGGCTGGAGCAGGGGCCTGGATGAATTCCTGGCTGGCCAGAGGGGGCTGCAGGGACCCTGTGAGGCCCTGGAGTTCATCTCTTCTTTCCCACTTCCTCCCCCTGCAAACCTCGAACCCAGGACACATGTTCCTTTCCCTGCCTTCTCAAGCTTCCTGGTGTGCACAACCCTTCACAAAGCCCACGGCTATGAAAACCACCCACATCTACTTCCGGTGCGGAAGTATGGAAGGGCCCCTCTAGCCGACTTCCTGTTGTAGAAAAAGCCCCTCTCTCTGGTCTTTTGGCCATTCCTTCTCATGCCTTGTGACAAGGTGGGAAATGCCCCCTCCAGGACCCCAGTGTAAGAAATGCCCCTCTTCTCAGCCTTGAAATATGAGAAATGACCCCTCTGGGTGACTTCCTGTACCAAATGCTCCACTCAGTTATTTCCACTGCAGGAAAAGCCCGTCTTTGACTTCTAATGTGGGGAAGTCTCCTTGGACTGACTTCCAGCATGGGACATGCCCCTCGGCCGACTTCCGGCATGGTCCCCACTGATTCCTGTGCAGGACCGTGACACTACCTGCCACGTTCCAGTGGAGGAAATTCTACTCTCTCTTCCTTCCGAAGGACACATGGGTCCAGGAAAAGCCCAGTGCTCCATACTCTAGACTCACAGGCCTTCTACTCACACCCAGAGGGTTCCCTGGTCCCACCGGCTCCAAGTGGCAACCAGATTTAGGCACAGAGGAGAGATGCTCTTGCCCAGAGGGCAGCCTCCCACGTTCTCATGACTTCCTCCTCTTCTGGGCCACTGGTGTGGCCAACAGGGCTGGCTCCCACCTCAGACCAGGCCCAGTGGACTCTGAACTCACAGCCAATTGAGGCAGCAAATTGGGGGGCATCTGTCTGCAGGGCCAGCCCCCAGGACATCTGCTTGCCAGAAGGAGGAGAACCCCCCACGGGGGCCCAGAGCTCGGCAGGGCTGGGTTAGTAAGAAAATAAAACAGGGTTAGTAGGGGCTGGGTTAGTAAGGCTGAGCACAGCACCAGCAGACAGGGGCACCTCAGCAGACACACATAGGAGTCACTAGGAGAAAAGGAAGAATACACACAGGTCCGTTAGTCTGTTAAGGGGGGGTCAGGGTGACTGGAGGCACCCCCGGGTTAAACAGGTTAGTAATCGAACAAAAGAGCTTCCTACGGAAAAGAAAACTGAGAAAGAGGAAGAATGTGGGGAAGAGACGGTTAGGGTTCAAAGCAATCTGGCCCCAGGCAGAGGAGTCTGTGTGCAGAACACCCAGAGCGACCAGGGCCAGGCAGGGAACATGTTCAATCAGGTTTTCTGAGCCTCCCACCCCTACCCTCATCCTTAAGTTTTTTTAAGTATCTGCCATGTGTTAAGGCCTTTTTTTAGTCAGGAGAATCCTCACTGCACCCTGTGAGGTAAAGATCAGCTGCTGAGGAAACAGGTTCAGATAGGCCGGGTGGTTTGCTCGAAGTCACCCAGCAGCAAGTGGCAGAGTTGGCAAGTCCTGTTTGCATGCCCTGTCCCAGAATGCGGTTCTGCACACAGATCCCAGACCAAGGGCAGGGCCTTCTGGGGCTTCGTCCGCCCCAATGTCCTGGCCCTCTGAGAGGTCTATGAGCTACCAGGGTTAGTAGGGTCTGGCTGCGGGGGGTTAGTAGGGCATGCTCGGGCCTGGTTAGTGGGTTAGTTGGTCGGCAGAAGGCCAGGCACCTCGTCACCCGCCACAGCGTCCTGGCCGAGCCCTGGGTTAGTAGGTTAATCACACCATGCAACACTGCCTGGGGCTGTCCCGCCCCAACCAGCCAGGGAGCTGGGCCTGACCAGCACAGGGCATCCGCACACCTCAGCGCCCCCAGAATCAAGCCCATCCACATGGATCCTTCCGAAGTGTTTTGTTTCCCAATTTCCTGGCCGTGGGCCTCAGAGGCCCTCCCCACAAACATTCCAGCTCCCTGGCAATAGACCCCACTTGTCTTGGCTGGAAAGCCCTGCCCGGTTCTGGTCAGCCCCCTCCCAGAAGGCTGGATCCTGTCCCACTCAGGCCGCCACACACACACACACACACACACACACACACACATGTGCACACACGAGCATCTTCCCACAAGAGGTCTGATGCCCCAGGGCCACTGTGTTCAGTAGACAGGTCCTCCATCACCAGCCACAAGTGCCTGGCTACTCCAGCCTCGAGCCTGCTCTCCCCGGTACCAAAACTGCATAGCACATGACTGGCTCCTGGAACCAGGTTCAGACTACCCAGCACCTCCTGGTCTGCTGCCTTTCCAGCCCACGTTACAAACCCACATCCTGGTTATGTCATCTCCTATCACCCACGTCATTTTCCCGCAGAAGCCCCAGCCCAACAGCTGACACCATTCCAACTGATGCTCCATAAGAAAAGGGTTCTATTACCCCTAAAGTTTGGGGGAAGAGAGGGACACTTAATCCTTTCTGTCTGTCCTTGAGTATTCACAATTCCCATCAACATTTTGAAGGCTCTGATAAGTCCTGCACTATAGCAATCTGCAGGATTTGAACTTGTTTTTTTTTTGGAGCAACTACATCTCCTAGAACTTACTTTGGGAGTCTCTGCTCCAGTTTCCCCCTGGAAGCTCTCAGCTAATCCATCTCTTTCTCATCTTTCAAGGCCCTGGGTGGCTCAAGCTTGCTGGAAAGTCTGCCCCGCCCACTCTAGGATCTTACTACAACCCCCCTAAGCACTCAGAACTCCATAGACTTGTTTTCTAACCCCATTCTTCAGTTCCCCATGTAAGCTGGGTTTGTCCCACTCAGCATGGCTATGAAATCCTGAAGGTTTGACACATGGTCAGATCTTTACCTGCATCTCCCCGAGTTAAGTGGCACAAAGACAGGCCCGTAGTAGGTGCTCAATCCTGATGAGAAGAGTAGAATTTAAATACCCCTGAAACCATTTGGAGCTACCATGCAGGCATAAAGGGCAGCCACTTCCCCACACTGAGTAGAGGGGAATAAAGAAATCAGGCAGTGGGAAGGCTAGCCAGGAGTGCCTCTGGATGAGAAGACGCCAAGTTCACCGTGCAGAGCAATGAAAGCAAATAAGCCTTGAATCTAAACTCCCAGATGGATGGAAGCATCAGTGAGTACCTACTAAGAGGCTGGCACTGCGCAGTCACGTGCCTGCGCTGACCCTCCCTGCAACCCTAGCGGGCAGTCGGCTCCTGTTTCGGTACGGAGATCAGACTCAGTGAGGTGACTTGCCCCAGGCTGCACCACATGGTGTGCACCCTCAGGCTCCAAAGCCCTCGCTCCTCCCAGGACACCCCTCTCCTACACTGGGTCCAGCCAGTCCCGTGTGTCCCCAAGGCACTGGGACCACACTGGCACAGTGCTGCCCGCGCGGTTTCTACTCCCCATGCCCCTGCTCTACCTTCCCCTCCCTGTGGGGGTGGGGACTCCAAAGGGGAGATGGCTCCAGATTTCCCTGTTTGCAGTGACCTCCTGCTGTGGACTGACCACATCCCTCCCCAAAGTCACAGGTTGAAGCCATACCCCCCAACATGACTATATTTGTAGATACGGTGTTTGTGGAGGATACTAAGATTAAAGAGGTCATAAGGGTGGGGCCCTGATCCGACAGGACTGCTGGCCTTATGAAAAAAGAAAGAGACACCAGATCTCCCTCTCCCCACCTTGCTCTGGGTGTGTGCACAAAGAAAAGGCCGGGTGAGGACATGGCAGGAAGTTGGCCATCCGCAAGCTCAGGAGCGAGGACTCAAAAGGAATGAACCCTGCCGGCACCTTGATCTTGGACTTCCAGCCTCCAGAACTGTAAGAAAACACATTTCTGCTGTTGAAGTCCCCCAGCCTGCGGTATTCTGTTACGGCTGCCAGGTAGACTAATGCAGACCTCCATCCTGGGGACAAAGCCATCCACCTTTTAAACTTGCCTAAGAAAAGCCGTGGGCTACTCTTGGGCAAGCCCTGGGCCCATCCCTTCTGTAGGGAGGTAGAACATGTGGAGAATGGAAAGGTGGGCCTGTAACTGCACAGAGAGCCCCCCCTTTGGATGAAGCCCTTCACATTTGTCATTAACAAAGCCCAGGTCCCTTAATAATGACCCAGAGTGTGGGAATTAGACCAGGTAGTTAGAGATTCAAGAAAATAGGAGTTTGCAAATCAAGGTAAAGCAAACGAAACAGACACAGGACTCTTAGTGCCCCCTCAAGGCTACAGGTAAGCTCCAGACCCCTGTATCCTTGAGATGGCTTGTAGGAATTCAGACCCCCCACCAGATGGGCCACCCTGGCAAGCTAATAGACCCCAGATTGGGTGGGGCCAGAAGACTGACATCTAAGATTCCTGAAACCATCCCTTTTCACCTCACCACTCACCAACATAAAGACATGCATGAGCTGATCACCTGCCCAGCAACCTTTGCCCACAATTTTCCCTTAAAAAACCCTGCTTGTAACCCTATGGAGAGTTCAGGACCCTGAGCATGAGCTCCATTCCCCTTGCAGGGCCCCCTGCAGTAAATGCTTACTTTCTTTCACTGCATCCCAGTATCAGGGTTTGGCTTGGGTGCACATCAGGCAGGTGGGCCCAGGTCTGTTTGGTTTGGTGACAGGCGTGGAGGTGCCCCTACAGCATGTGATGGGGCAGCTCCTGTGCCTGAGGCTGGCTCTGCCTGCCTTTGCCCCCCAAGGCCAGAATCGAGGGAGTTGGGCTGGGGTGACCTCTTAAGCGTTGGCAGAGGCTGGTTCCAGCCCATCCCCTCTGGATGGAGGGAACGAGGGGTCTGCCTCTGGGAGATCTGCCCTGGCCTGGACCTCCTCATCTCTTGGAAACCCTCCCCTTTCAAGATAGCCCACCCTCTGCCCCTCCAGCCACCCCCCCCAGAGCTCAGCTACACAAGGGACGGCCCAGGCTCCTCCAGGCCCTGACTGCGTCTTCCTTGTGACCGTCACAAAGAGGAGCACGGAAAAGCACCCACAAAAATGAGAAGCACTCGCAAGGCAAACGGCATGAGACAGACTCCCGCTGGGGGCTGGAGCTGTGGGTGCCCGTTCCCTTCGCCCCTCCCCCAGCCCAGTGTGGAGTCCTTCCGGGCCGGCCCTGAGAAGCATGCTGTCAGTGGGGCCTTGGCCTAGGCCGAGCGCTGTCTGGTCACCTGCAGGTCCGCAAGGGGAAGCAAGTCTGCATGGGGTGAGGAAGCGACCTCCGGGCGCAGGGCCTGGTAAGGGCCGTGGGAGGGTCCAGGCAGGCATGGAGGGGTGGCGGGCTGCCGGCCTCCCTCACAGCCCTCACGCTGCCCTCCAGACCAGAGGCCCTGCCCTCCGCGGGCCTGAACAGGCCTTGCGCCATAGGCAGCTCCATCTCAGAAGCTGGGAAGGATGAGGTCTTCGGGGAATTGTCCAAGGTTACAGAAGGCCACCCGAGGTGGCTCTCTGCACCACTGCAGCCGGAGTCCGTCACCGGGCTCCGAGGAGAAGACTAGGCCGAGGTCCCAGAGATGCGGCAGGCCGAGCCACCTGCGGGAGACACAGTTCATTAGGATGAGGGCACAGCCTCCAGCCCCCACTCCCCACACCCTCCAACCTACCTTTCAGGGGCCCTCAGTTGCCCTCCTGTGCCCCAGAAACCAGACAGGCAGGGTGAGTGCTTTGGACACTGATAACTTTCAGAAGAAACTTAGGAATAAAGAAGAAGCCATGAATGCTAAGGACGCCCCACCTGGGCAGGGCTAGCTCAGGACTAGCTCAGGATAGCCCTAAAGCAATAAAGGGAGCCCAGAGCCAGCCTCAGGGGCATAAGGGGCAGAGAAGGGGGGCAAGGGTGTGGGCAGCAGAAAGCCTTCGGGCAGTCGGAGAGCTTTGACTCCATTTACAGCGTTCCTGCTGAGGGGACCTTGGCACCTCCCTCCCCAGCACATACACACCCATGCACACCTCCCAGGACAGGGAGCTCATCCCCTCCCAATACTGTAGGAAACTACCTTCTTACGTCAAGATCCTAGAGGGCGAGACCGTGACTCTGGTGTTCACCTTGGGATCCCCAGCATCTAGCTTGGAAAAGGTGCATGGTCCATGTTTGTGCCGAATGAAGGAATGTGCTGAAATCTTTGCCAGGAGCCCACTCACCCTGCCAAGACCACACAGAACAAACTTTCCAGCCACCTCAGGAGCAGAAGAGTTCTTGGCAGGCCTGGGCCTAGGGAGGGGCTGGATGGAAGGACAACCATCCCCCGTTAACCTAAGCTCAACAGAACCTCCCTCCGCCATGCCTACCCAGGCTTACCTGGCAGCGCCCAGCCAACAGGTTGGCAGCCCAGGCCCAGCTCCCAGCTCCTTCCCCAAGTAGACCCCAACCTGGAAGACAAAAGAGCCAACCCCGGCACAGGAGAAAACTGCATCCAGGCCCCCTCCCCACACCCAGGCCTGCTCAGAGCTCTGCTAACAAGGATGCTCGTGTGTGCACATGTGTGTGTGTGTGTGTGTGTGTGTGGCGGCCTGAGTGGGACAGGATCCAGCCTTCTGGGAGCCAGGGAGGCCGGCCTGAGAACACCACCTTCGCCCTCCCTTCCCCGCACCTTCAAACGTCCTTTGGGGCAGAGGAGAGATCCCTCCACCCACCTGCCTGCTCCCCAACAGCAGCAGAATGTGACCCAAGACAAAGTAAGACAAACTCAGTTTGGAAACACTGAGTGGAGGCCCCGAGCAGTCAGGAATCCCGACAAGTTCTGGTCCCAGCTCTGCCGTGCTCTGCAGCCCTGGGAAGTCTGTCCCTCTCTCTGAACCCTGGGATCCTTCCATCCCAGATTTCCACCCACAGCGCATTATAGGAACCCATGGTTTGAGGCAGTGGCTGGGAAATGGCCATGGGGGGGCCTTTTGCTCAGCCCCATTTTCTACCTATTCATCCTGACTTAGGACCACCACCCAGGTTTCACTTTTGGTGAGAACTAAGCTATCTTCATCACCTGGCAGGAGCCTTCTCAGTATATTTGCAGGGCTTGCTGTCGGCACCTGGGACTGGGGGCACAAGTCCAGAGCTGGAGATGTATTCAGACCCTTCCACTGAGAAGAAGATGCCCTGTATTCACAGTGCGGGCGTCCCTGCTTGACTGCCCAGCAAAAGAGCCCTGGCCAAGTTTTATGAATGCGAGGACGAAGGGCCAGAACTGAGAAGAGCCGGCCTAAACCACCAGGCCGCCCAAACTCCTTCCGACACCAAACCTACAGGCACCAAAAATGAAGTAATTAAACTCAACTCTGCAGAAGTCCCTGGGGGTGGATTTATAAAATACTAGCTTCAATGCCAAAAAGTATGGCGTGAAAATTACCCTTTCTGGGGTTCCATGGACAAGTTCTCTCTTTGCAGCCTAGAGGTAGAAAAGTAAATGAACAGCATCACCAATTTCCGCTCCCACTTGGGGATTCTGGGTTACCATACTTCCCCCCCACCGGCACAGACTAGGAGAGGGCAGGCTGGTAGGCGGTGGGCTGGTACATCTGAATACTTATCTGCAAGGCTGCTTCCCAGTGTGGTTGCAAACAGCAGGAAGGACTCCGAAACTCCCTTCTCTCTCCTCTGTCCCAGGAACTTGCTGCATTCTGTAAATAGAACCTGGGCTGCTCAGAGGAGCTCTGGTTGAGCACCAAGACCCTACCCAACAGCCTCGTGGGCCCAGAATCCCTGATATGAGTAAGGGAACAGAGGTTTCAAAGGAAATTTGAATATCTGGGTCAAGCTGACAGCTGTCAGGAGGGCAGAAAGGAAGGCATGGGCTTTGAGTTCAGACAAACACAGGTGATCCTGTGGCTCCCCAGCCCCACATACCCAATGTTTGACTCAAAATTAATTCTTCTCAGAGGCTTAGTCAATACCTGGTACACAATAAGTGTTCTAGAAATTATTTTCACCAGTTAATGATTTAAACTTTGGGTAAATCTTTGTGCAATACTGATGTCCCACAAATAAGGGCCATATTTTTCCTGCAGCACTATCTGCCTCCCAGAACAGGGCAGGGGTACATACACTGCAGTTAGGAAACACAGATCAAATTAAAATCCCGTCTTGGTGACTGGATAAGCAAACTGGAGTACAGTCATATAATGAAATTTGCTCAGCAATAAAGAGGAACAAATTATTGATACATACTTTGACATGGACAAACTTCAAAAATATTAAACAGGCACAAGAGACCACCTGCTGTACGACTCCATTTATATGCAATGTCCAGAAAAGGCAAATCTATAGAGACAGAAAGTCAATTCGTGGTTCTCTGGGATGAAGAGGGGGATGAAGATTAGCAGTCAGTGGGTATAAGGGATCTCACTGGGGCAATGGACATGTTTGAAAACTGATTTTTGGTGATGGTTACACAACTTGGTAAATTTACTAAAAATCAGTGAACTGTGCACTCGAAATGGGTGAGTCATATGACATTTAAACCATGCCCTCCATAAAGACATAATTCAAGGCAAAAAAGGATTGAATTACTGATACATGCAGTAAGAGGCATGAACCTCAAAAACATTATGCGGAGCAAAAGATGCCAGGCACAAAAAGTTCCATAGATGCTTTAGAAAAAGCCAATCTAATCCATAGGCACAGAAAGCAGATCTGTGGTCTGCTGGGACTGGAGCTGGGATGGGCTTAACAGGGAAGGGACACCAGGAACATTTTGGGGTGGGGAAAACGTCCTATAGCTTGACTGTGTTAGTGCTTATACAGGTGTATACATTTATCAAACACATTGAAATGGATGCTGTAAGTGGATGCATTTATTGCATGTAAATTATACTTTGATAAAATTATTTCTCTAAAACTCATTCAAATGTGATGACATTGGGCAAGAACTGAAACAGGTCAGATTAAAGACCATCCAGAGACCTCATGGTGTGCCCCAGGGATCCAGCACCTCACCTCCCACTAGCCCACAGAGACCCCCACACACACACCTCAAGTCAAGGTCACAGGTCCCATCAGGCATGCTTTGATTGAGGGACTTGCCCCAAAGATTCAGGAGGTCTCTGCATATGTGCATTTCACGGTGACCTGACTGCATGGCAAGAAGCTGGTGTCCACCGCCCCGTGGGTGCCCGGAAGGAGAGGAAGGGCCACCGTGGGCACTCCTTTGCTGCTGTTAAGAGTCACAGCAGCCACGCTGAGCTTGTCTGGAACCACATCGTGGACAGGGAGATAGATAGATGCCTCCAGCTGTCATTAAGAGAGAAAGAAAGAAGGGTGCTGGAATAAATATGTGCCCTGAGCAATTGGAGAACAGATGCCAGGGTCCTGTTCTGAAATCATAGCATTTGCCAAAACTGATCTCCCTGGATGCAGACCAGAAGCAAAACAGGAAACCAGAGATCTCTTGGGCGGGCCAGTGCCAGCAAAGCATCCTAACATATTGGAAGGAACGTGGGCTTCACGGCATAGATTCCCATCCTGTTCTGCCATGTTGCTTGAGCAAGTACATTGGCCCCTGGGCCTACCTTCTTATCCATGAAATGGGGGCTATAAGGGTGCCCACCTCACAAGGCTGTTGTGAGGATTACATGGGATGATATACACTATTACTTTGCACTCTGTTATTCTCTTACACTATTATTACCAGCCCTGCCCACACTGCTCATGACCGCCATCCATAGCGTGTTCCTTCTTCCCCCTAAACTCTGTGAGCTGTTCCTGGCAATGGAGGAACTGCTGCCAGGGAAATATGCATTTGGTTGCATTTTAGGATCCCTCTGGGTTTGGGTTTTTTTTTCCCTGACTCTGAAATAAAATAGCTGCTCAGAGAGCTGAGGCATATGGGACACATTGGCCTAAATTCCTCTGGATGAGTAAGTGCTGGGAAATAACGGAAGCTCCAGGGAATAAGGAGATGTGTGGGGCGCCGCACAGATGTGCTGAGGGACAGAGGCTATGGCGCGGGAGCAGAAAGCGCTGTTTCTGGGGAAATTCAAATGCAACATACACAAAAGAGGAACTCCAAATTCAAGTCTCCCTGAAATAAGGGAGCTCCTGAGCTTCAGGGAGAGGAAAGAAAAGCAAAAGGAGGAAAAAGAAGGGAAACTAACATTTCCGGAGAACAGATACTAATCTGGGGCGCCTTTACCTACCCAACAAAAGAACGAATTGAGTTTTACTGTCCTCATTTTACAGATGAGAGAACTGAGTGAAGCGCCTTGCTCCAAGGTCGTCCAGATACGAAATGGTGCAGCAGATTCTAAACAGGCCAGTTGAACCCTCAAGGTGCAGAAGACGTAAGTTCAAATATGCATGTGGGAGTTAAATGAGATAAGACCCGAGGAAGGTAGGCACAAACTGCAGACGCTGCCGTCATCAGCATTACTGTTGCCAAACCATCTCAGGTTGGCTTACTGCAGTTGTTTCCATGATCTCTAGGCAACCGATTAAGTTCACTTTTAGAGGAAGAAGTGGCATGGTGTAGTACTTCCAAACACACAATTCAGAGTCAATATTAGATGCAGGTTCAAGCCTTGACTCTACCTCTAACTTGCTGTGTGATTCTGAGCTAGTCATTCCACCTCTCTGAGCCTCAACTGCTCATTGATGCCCCATTCCCAGCCTTTTCGGGGGGTCTCTTTTCAAGGCAGCACCCAGCAAGAGCGCTGGTAAATGGCTACTAATGGTAGTGGGGGTTGGTTACCATTAATCATCTACTCTCCTCCCAAGTACCCAATAGGTCAGCCCCTCCCTCCCTTCAGTGATTCATCCAGTAGCTTCCACAGGGGCCCACCTGGCACAGGAGGGAGCAGGGAACACCTGCCTCATATGCTCTGATCAGCCAGGAGAGGGATGGGGTGACAGATGTCACCCCCAGCCAGCCTTTGCTGCTTCTGCCCTTGAATATCTCAGGCTATTGTTCCACAGAGCTCCAGCTGACAGATGAGCCAGGGCTCCGAGACAAGAGGAGGGATCCCCTCGGGATAAAGGACCAGACTACAAGCTATTCACCAGCCCATTGAACCTGCACAATGGACCCAGTGCCCCAGAAACACCAGTGTTCAAACAGCCCGAGGGTCGCCTGGGAGAACGGAGGTGTAACAAGGTGCAGGGGCTATGTGCGTGAGCGTGGCCAGGACACAGCGGCGGCCCCGTAGCCACAATATCTTTATGAGGCACCTACTGGCTGTTAGGAATTTTATACACTCTGGTTCATGGCCACATTAACAGCCTTTTAAAGAAGAGTATGATTTCCCCTACAGAGGGGAAGACTGAGGCTCAGAGACGGGGAAATGACTCTCTGACTGAAGTTGACCCAGACAGCAGGTGGGGAGGATTCGTATACAGATCTGCAGATCTCAACCCCCTTCCCTTTCCACCACACCACATTGCTTTGATGGTGATGAATTCAAAGAGCATAATCCTACCTTAGGTGGAAGCATGGATCAGGTCCAGAGAAAGGACCTTAGAAATGAAGATGAAAAAAAAAAATACAGAAAATATCTGGCAGGTCCAACTATAGGGAACTGAGTAGAACAGGTTCATCTACTCCATGGAACGCTAACCCTGCTACAGAGATTTCTGAAAGGGCATAAAAACCCAGAGAAACACATCTGATGCAACTTTTTTTTAAAAGCAGTATACATATAGTACCATTTCAATTAACATTTTCTGTAATAGAAAATATACCAGAGGGAAACACATGAAAATGGTAAATACCATGGTTATTCTTGGGTGATGAAATTATACAGTTTTCTTCTCTTGTTTTCCAAATCTTCTACCATTATCATGTGTTTTCTGGAATGTATTAGACTCATTTTCTAATAGTCTGGTTTTTAATGGAGCCATAGAGAATGGTCCTGCTGAAGCTTGTGGTAAGGAGTTATGGCCTCTCTGGGACTCTGAAGATTCCAGCTCTCTTCTCTGATAAGAGAGGCTAAAAATGCAGCAAGAAGGATGGAGGATAGATTTCAGAACCTTTCTCACTGGCAAGGGTCATTAAAAATGCAGGCACGGAGGGCCATAGGGATGTTACCTGTAAAATTCTTTCAGCGTAAACGTAACCAAACTCAGTGTAGGATGAGGTCAGTGCCACTCAGCCTCCCCGGAGGAAACCATTTTTCCCAGACTATAGTTCTGGACTAGGGGCTGAGGGGAGAGGTCGGGGCACTGCCCCTCAACCCATGGTCTGACCTCCTGCCTGATGAGGGAGATGGGGGGGTCTGAGTAAACAACCCGATGCCCAGCCCCACCCAGGTCCTGCTGACTCATCCCCTGGCCACGTGGCCTGGACATCTGCCTATTTGCAGCAGCGCCCCAGAAGTCTGAGAACCACTGTCCTCAGGTTTCCCTGTCTGTCAGGTGGGATTACTCACCGCCCCCCTCCCCGCCCGCCCCAGCCCAGGCGATCAAGCGCCCAGGTGTTCCCAAGTGGGAATACGCCTGAGCAAGTAAAGCACGGTGCTCAGAACCAGCGTTCTGCTCTGGGCCGCGCTCAGTCTGTGGTTGGCACCGAGAAAAACAAAGCCGTCGTCCGCACGTTATCTCGCCGCTCTGTCCCCACCACTCCCGGCACAGGGGCCTCGCTCCCCGTCCCTTCCCCCAGCAGCAGGTGGGGGCGTTTTCCCCGCGGCCGCGGCACTGCAGTCGGGGGGTTGGGGGGTGCGCCAGCAATCCCTGCGCACGGCAGCCACTGGTCTGGGGCCTGGGAGGAGGGTGGGGAGCCCAGGAGCCCCGGGACCTCCCCCTGCACCGCAAGAGGAGCAATTTCTGCAGCCCGGAGCCGTCCGCCGCGGGAGAGGAGAGATCTGGCCCCTCCCTCCCCAAATCCCAGCCTCTCGAGTGTATCGGAGAGGAGGAGAGGAGGGCTAGTGGCTCTGGGGGCGCCCCAGACTCATTCGGAGAGGTAACATAGGCTTTAGAGCCCGACGTATCTGGATCCCAAAACCACTGGCTGTGTGACCTCGGACGTGTCCCTAACCCGCTCCGATCTCAATTGCCTCATCTTTAAAATGGGGCTCTTACCACCGCGTGGGCCTCTTGTGATCAGACATGCAAAGCGCTGAGCACGTTGCTGGCGCAGAGGAGGCTCTCCAAAGACTGAGGCGCTGTTACTGTCACTCCCGATGTCATGATTCTTCTCCCCGGAGCTAGTTTTCCGGCCCTCTCCCTTCCTCTGGAGCCGCGCGGGACGCTGGACCTCTGGAATTTGAGACCCAGAAGTGGAGCCTCGGCAGGCCCTGGGGCGTGGGTTCAGTATCAGGGAAGTGGGGCTCAGGCACCCCACCCCAGTCCTAGTCCCGAGACCATGTGAGCTCTGTCCAGAGCTCTGACCTGGTGGACCGAGAAGGTCCGGCGTCCCCTCATGTCTTCCTGGTGTGTGGTGGGAGGTGGGGGGGGCCTTTGTTCCCCCTCAGGTCCGGACTGCAGGACCCCCACCCGCCCTTCCCTTCCCCGCGCCCCACCCGGGTCCGAGTCTTGGCTGCCTTTGACAACTGCAGTCTGGGGAGGCGCTTCATCCACGAAGAGAGGCCCTTCGGGCAGCCTTCGCCCTCCCCTGAACCTGCCTGGGAGCGGGGACTTACCTTCGGCCTGGGCCTGGGGCATCAGGCTGCTTCTGGGGAGGCAGGGCTGCCAAGATGGGGCGGCGGCTCACCTCGGGTCCGCGGTCCTGCCACGCGAGTGCAGAGGGCTCTTTGTGCCGGGCTCACAGCGCAGAACTGGGGGAGCCCCTGCAAGCGCCTCCCCTCGCAAACTCCTCCCCGCCCTCGTCCGCAGCCTCCCTCCCTCCGGTCCCCCGAGCGCAGCGGGCGGCGTCTTTGTAGCTGCTGCAGCGCCCATGAAATTTTAATGCGGGAGCGGCTGGCGGGCGGAGGCGCCCCACCCCCGGCCCTGGCCCGCGCCCTCCCCCACGCCCGTCGCTTCCCCGCGGCCCTGAAACCCCACCTCTCCCCTCAGCCCCCGCCCTGGGGTTCGGGCCCGGGAGGCGAGGTGTGGCCGGCAGTGGGGGTTCGAGCATCACCACCCCCGCGGCACAAAAAGGGGCGAGCCCGGCTGCGCGCTTGGCCTCCCGCATCCCTGCCCGCGGCGCTGCCATAGCAACGCTTGAGGGGCTTGACTTGGCCACTGAGCACCCACCCGGGGCAGAGGATCGAGCGTACGGCGCGCGCCCGCGGACCCCGGGAGCAGAAGCTGGACCCTGGCCTAGCGGACGGAAGGGACCCGTCCTGGAGTACTGGGTGCTTCACCCACCCGGCCTCGGTGCCTGCCTCGCGGTATATATTACGCCTACTAGATGGCCCCATGGTTATGGTGGAGTCCAGATCTCAATTTGAACATGTCCGTGCCGCTACACCACTGGGCCCCACAACTTTTATAGGCTTGGAATTTTTTTTTTTTTTTTTTTTTTTT